CTCCATCTATTGGTGGGGAGCCGCACCTGCTGGAAACCGGGTCCAGCGTCCCATAGATACAACCATATCCTCACAAATTGGCACAAACTGGGAACTGGGCCCAGCGTCCCATAACGAGCACGTTCAGAAAACTCGTCAGAAAATTCCATGAATATGGAACTAGGAACCTACTAGAAAAAAAGTTAAAAAACTAGTTGGCTTAAGGATGGAGTTTTGAAAATTGAGATACCGGGGCCATTACCCGGCTTCAGCTCAGAGAATTTAGACCTACTTCAAACATGTCTACGACAACTTCATGATTCAGCAAAATTCAGAAACGGCTCAGAAGAACCCCCAACAATCCACTTTTCCTCACTCCGGTAAGACTGACTGCAGCGGAGCCACCATCTCTGCTGCTGCTATACCATGCTCACATCCTACCAACTAGCCCCCTCACTGGTAGGACGCGTGATAACCCACCATCTTTTCTTTTTTGAAGAAGCTCAAGAGAATTAAGGAGCGGTCGAATGCTTAGAATCCCTAGACTCCCAAACAAAACACTCTAAAATTGTACAACACTGTCTTATTCCCTGTCGAGCAAGGCCTCACACCCCCACCCGGCTAGGTTACAGAGCAACACGACTCGCACCAGCTCCGGCCAGCGTCGTCCCAACAGCAACCCTTGGTTGTCCCTTAGAATGCCCCCCCAAAGCATCCCCAGATCTTTCTACCAGGCTTCATGCTCCTGCAAGCAGGCAGACTGCGGCAAGACAGTCTGTCGGGAGACGCAGCAGCAAGGAAGGCAAAGCATGCATACTCAGAAACAGCGACAAAGAGTGACAATGAATAAACTCCGCCAAGCTGCATAAATGCACAGATTCGTTAGACCAGCTCCCAGAGTTCCACCTCCACAGCACTCAGCACTACTGTTCGCACTTAACATATGCCTCACCAACCAAGCCACCATAGCTATATCTCCCAAAAACGACAAAGTAGTCCCTTCTACCAGTTTCGTCCGGCTACTACACGGACTCATCAGGAAGGCGCACACTCACGGGTGCTTCTGTCGAAAAAGAGGCCTACTGCCTTGCCTCTTCCTACTGAAGTACTGTTTCCTATGCCTACTGCGTCACGTGCCTACTCGACCTCATTGCACACACACCGCATGTACGGACAAAACATAAATCCGACCGCCTGTCGTGGCGACATCAAAATTACGACAGCGCTCAAACTATCCCCGGCCTGCCACCGAACAGACAAAAACTAAATAAATAAATAAATAATTACATATGCGCTACTGCAGATCCCGTTCTGGACGTATCCCCCGGATATCTCAAAATGCCCGTTCGGCAGTTACAGATCGGTCCGAACTGGCCGCGGGTCTCTAACCGTCGCCTGCCCTGTGCGGTCCCTCCTTCGAATGCAGGCCTTTACCTTTTTCTCTTGCCATATCAGTTGAAAAACGCCATGTAGCCCCCATAGCATCTTCAGCATCGTACCGTTGGCTAATTTTGCCAAGGCACCCAGAGAATCCTCCGGGGGGTAGCCCCGGAGGGAGCTCTCAGTCATTGCGTACGCTATCGAACTTACACATAGCGCGTGTGAGGTCGACGATTGCCACAGTCTTTTGAGCGTCGCCGAGAGGACACCCTTCTTGGCTTTCCTTTCGGTGTAGCTCGCAAAATCTTGCATCGACTGGTAACGCAGAACACCGGAGTCACTCAGGGACACACAGTCCTTCGTCTCTTGTATAAAGTGTACTTGGACCGGTTCCTTCATAACATACACACGCCCCCCAATGAAGTTCCAAGTGTTCGTGCTGTCGTCTTTCCGAATCAGTCTCAGCTTGTGATCGTAAGTATTCTCGAAGGCGTCCAGTATCTTACCCGCCTTCCGCCATGCCTCAGGCTCACTGCTACACCCAACGATGATGGAGACATCGTCCACCATCCGCCAGCCCAAATCCAACTTTCTATCTGCTCCAAGACCAGCAAGAAAAGTTGCTTCAGCCATTGCGCATGTCATTGTGGCCAGTACCGGACTGGTGGTTCTACCCATCGGAATACCAGTAATCAGTCTCCTTATAACGTCGCCATGCATCATATAAGCATGCGCAAGGTCATACTCCACGATTGTCCTAATCGTATCCATTTGACTGTGACAAAACCAGGCTCTTTCCAATCGGTCTTCGATAGATGGCACTGCTTTCCTCTGATCGCGACCCTCACCTGCCTCCATCCCTGGTCTTCGAACTGCGTCACTAAATCTGAAACTGCCTTCTTTACCGACAAATGTGATATCGAGGAGAACATCTCCTTGATGTCGTAACACCTCCCCATCGCCATATTGCATCCTTCTTTACTCAGGATCTCCCCCGCCTTCTCCAGGTCTTCTTTCAGCTCCAAAGTTGATCTCAGGTGAAAATTCGTCTTCCTGGAGAATTTTGTAACGAGGCAGTGCAGGGCTCTAGCCCCTCTCCGTTGTACCATCATCGCCGGGTCGTTGCACGCCGGGGTGATCGGTCTCCATCGTCGCAGATCTTTATCCTTCGGTACTACGTACAATCTCCCCAACCTCCCATCTGTCTTCCACTTCCCAATCTTCGAAAGTCCTGCCTCCTCGAACTCCCTCTTGCATTGAGCCAGGACTTCCGTCTCAGTCTTGTCCACAGATTCGTAGTCCGGGTTCCACGTGAAAGTACTTCCGAACCCGTGTCTATACARAACGGGGCATATCAACGCSGTGTCTCCCGGATTGCGATCCACAGGTACGAGGACAAGGCCTTGGTACTTCGAGGCCCAGCTACGTACCTCTCCCTCTGTCCAGGCCGCACATACCCCGATCCCGGCCTTGATGCAGGAGTCAACGTTCACGACCTCCCGCTTCTTTCCCTTCAGGTGGGCTATTGCCATGTTGATGCCTTGAATGATGTCCCTCCTACTGTTCTGCTCATCTGGTCTTGTCACGTTCTTCGCGTTCCTCACGAACATCGGCACGTCCTTCATCTCTGACACTCTCGCGAGTACGTGCCCGTCTTGCTTGTCTAGGAGGTAGTGCTCACAGGGACAACTCGCCGGTCTAGTATGAGCATACCGGCGGTGGTTGTGGATAACTTGCCCCACCGTCTTGTTTTTCGTACTCACCACCCTCACGTTCTTTTTCACGAACGCTGCCAGAGCATTGTCGTCTAGCTTTCCGTCGATCTCCGATTTCACTAACCGCCTTACCTCCGACTTCAAGATAGCGGAATTATACGGGTACTTGACGGTGACCCTCCTTCTCACACTAACTCTCGTTTTCTTCCTCAAAACCCGATCTATTTTTATCTTCGACGTCTCTATTGTCTCCTTCCTCCCGAAGAGACCCGCAATCCTGTATAATCCTACCAATTTACTCATCGGTTGTCGAGCTAGACCAACTACAAGCTTCGGCTGTCTCAACAATCTACCCAGCTCTCGCTTGTACCGTTCGGTTGGTAGTCGTTTTGCATAGCCGCACAAAGATCACCTTACCCCCGTTCTGGCAGATCTGTCTCGCTTGTTTCAGCAAAACCTTCCTCCCATTTGCCTCGACCTCCGATATCCCGTAGAACTTGCTGATTTGCTTCCACCCGTCCGCCCATTGCTCACCCGCGGTGAAGATTACCTCCGCTTTCCCTCTCGGTTTCTCGCTTCTTTCATGCAGCCAGTTCAATAGTGATGTACGTTTCCCCTCTGCGGTTGTGAAAGCTACCACAGCCTTTCCTACCGTCCCACCTTTCTTCTTCTTCCTCTCCCTCTTGCCCTTTCGCCTTCTTGACTTTGCCCCTCTTCCCTTCGTTCCCTTGGCGTTCAAGTTGGGTGACAGATCTCGGATCAGGTAACGATCGAACTCAAAATCGTCAATCTTGGTTGTGTGCCTCACCGGTATGATTACAAACTTATCAGTACCAAATGTTCTCATCCATCGGTACAGTTGGGGAGCTTTYCCCCGAGAGTCCGATGCTGCCGCGTGCACGTGCTCCCTCCACCTTTGCAATATTGGTCTCGACGTACATCCCACGTATACTCGCTTCGCCCATGGGCCAGCGATGACATACGTGCCTCCAGTCCGCAGATCTAAAGTCGCTTCGTCCACGTCTGCCTTGTCCAGGTATTTCTTCAGCCACGTGATCTCTCCTCTCATTCCAAGGAGTATCGTTGTTGTCGTGATCCGTCGCTCCACCCCCGCTACTTGCTCGCCTTTAGCTCCCTGCCCCCAAAGGGTCTTCCTGATATCCATTTGCGTCCGGAGTGTACACCATAACTCGGCGGCTGTAGGGGGCGCCGGGAGTCAATCTGTCCCTAGTTCCTGTGGTGTGGCCGATCTAATGATATTGCGCGGCGGCATGAACATCTTGGTTTCCGCCCGCGTGTTAACCGCCGTCTTGATTACTTTTGGGGGTGTCTTGTCTTCAGGTTGCCCTCCTTGACTCTCTTGCTTCTCTTTTCCTTTGTCGTTCTCTGCTGGCGCGTCGAAGAAACCCTCATACGCGCGTTCTGTCTGCCTCTTGACAAACCCCATAACCATGTCGTCCTTCCTTGCTGACTTGATCCCCGCCCTCTCACACATCTCTCGTAGTTCCGGGACTTTCTTCGCAGAGTACTGCTGGAGGACCTTTAGCGTGTAATCAACGAAACCTTCCCGCGAACATCCCGCAGATATGCCCTTGTATTCCCCTGTTAGTGGTGTACGAGGCTCTGCGATCGCCACTCCCTTCGTCGTCGGTGTTTCGGACCGTCTAGAGCACTCCCCTTTCTCATACACGCTCGGTGGTGTCCTCTTCGCTGACCTCCCCCTTCCTTGCACCCTCTTAGGCTTCCATTTCTGCTTCTCGGTGCGCAATATCCGCGAGATCCGTCTTGCTTCTTCTTCCGAGTCCTCACTAGATTCGCTCGCTGACGTGCTATTGTTCTCACTTGTGTCTGAACTGCTGGAGGAGCGAGCTTCTGTCTTCCCCCTGTTTCCCTTCTTGGTCTGTCTCCGCGACTTCCTCTTCGCCTTATCCTTAGTTATAACCTTTCTTTGTGGTGATATCTTTGGACCCGCCTCCTTCACCGTTTCTTGCCGCTCCTCCCTCGCTCTGTTGGCCGCTTCTTCTTGCTGTCTCCTCCATTTCTCCTCAATGTCCGCCTGTAGTTGCTTCTTCATTTCCTCCGTTCTTTTGGCGATATCTAACTCCCGCTTCCTATCTTCTTCTTCCTTCAGGCGTCTCTGCTCCTCCTCAATCTTCTTCCGCTTCTCCTCTCTCTTCTCTTCCATCAACTCTCTTACGAAGACGTGTACCTCATCGTCCTGTTGATTCAGTCTCACAGGACCGCATTTCGACCAGCAGTCTCGTGCTATGTGCCCTGTTTTCTGCACTCATAGCACGTGATAGCATTCCTTCCCCCGTATCCCCCATTCCCGTTGTTCCCGTTCCCCCCATTGTTATTATTGTTGCCGTTATTCATGTTGCACACCTCCTCCTCTTACCACCAGGTTTCTACCTCTATCTCTATCTATATCTATATCTCTATCTCTAATTCGACCCTTCCGGAAACTAACACAGCACCGTTAGGCTAATGAGAACCTCGGTTACTGCGTTCCCAAAACAGGCAGACTGCGGCAAGATAGTCTGTCGGGAGACGCAGCAGCAAGGAAGGCAAAGCATGCATACTCAGAAACAGCAACAAAGAGTGACAATGAATAAACTCCGCCAAGCTGCATAAATGCACAGATTCGTTAGACCAGCTACCCGGCCTCACGCTCTTTAAGCAGCAGGTTACAGGGCAACTCCCCAGCACCGGCCAGCGTTGTTCTGGCATCGGACAACTGCAGATCCATGTATTAAACAGCCTAAAGCGAGTTGCTAGAAGTCCCCAGAATCCCAAAGCATTCTCTGTTACCAAACAACCAAACTAATTCCTTGGAAAAATAAAAAATAAAAAAAATTTGCTCTTTCCCTGAAGACTTTGAGAAGCCCTGCCGATGACACAGATGCTACTTTTGGAAGCTTCCTCTTCACCCTTCTATGGGGGCGCCAGCTCTTACTATCAGACCGGGTAGCCAAAAGTAGGTTTTGTGATAATTGAGATACTTATGTCTCTTCACTAACATACCAGGAAATTGGGACCAAACAGGAGGGTGAGGGAGGAAAAGGGTCAGGAAAATCTGATAGAGGGCGGAGGGGGACAACTGCATCTACTTTTGTCCATTCATGAAAGACCAGACAATAGTCATGCCTTAATTCCTTGTGCTACTCATCTCTTGGTTACCTTCCCTGGCCCCATTCCATTTTTGCCAAGCGCCGCTGAATTGTTGGATGTGCTGATGGATTTCTTTTTTTGATGACAAGAACTGGATTTTTTCAATTACTTTATTCCATCGAGTTGTGATCACTGTCTGTATTTGTTGTTGGATTGCTTCTGTAAATTCTAGACCATCCAACCTTGCCCCCTCCATCTCGAAGGTGCAACGGCGATGCCAGAGGGCTCATAGAATTGCTCTTCTTCTTGTTATGAATAAATTTTGAGTGAAGTCATCGAAATTGGTCTGAAGACCAGGTTTCACATATAAGGGCTCTACAGTCCCAAGGCCAATTTTGTGAATTGTTGAGGGAGGACCATATTCTGTCCCACCATCTTCATATCCAGACCGCTCCCGGACATTACAGAAAAGTGTGTTCTATTGTTTCTGGGATGGTCTTCGAAGGGAAATTTAAGCGGATGAGCATAGCTTACACCAGGGTAGTGCTATGCCTCTCTACTCCAGCTAGGTCCTGTCTATGATCCACATATTTGTGGGCAGGCACCTATGATCATCTGCCATTGTAATGACTCAGAGGCGACTTTGGATGGTTTGGTTTTTATGGTTTTAAGCCATTTGATGTGTCCGAGTTACTGTCATGTACTCTATATTCAATTTGTATATGGGACGCTGGACCCGTTTTCCAGCAGGTGATGCTCCCCACCAATAGATGGAGCCTCTCCCCAGGTGCTAGTGGTGGCTGCTCTTATCA